AAGCTTAGCACCCGCCCCTTTTTCTGAGCTCAACCTCAGTCTTGCCCTGCCCCCAAGAGTTCCAGCTCAGCTGCCAGTTCTAAAAAACAGTGACCTCAGAAAGGGCCCGGGGGCTGAAAGAGGTACACCCTGCTCAAAAGTCAGACTTTCCCTACTCTCTCCTCCTTCAGGCTAGCTCCTAGCCCTCTCCTGACCTTCAGTGCTCTTTTCAGGGATGATGCTTTCTCTGAAAGCCCTGGTGGCTTAGTGGTTTAGAACTTGACTGCTAATAAAAGGTCTGCAGATCATAACCCACTAAATGTGGCAGTCTGTTTCTGTAAAGATGTGCCTATAGCCTTAGGAACACTATGTGGCAGTTCTCAGGATCACCTCCATGGCAGTGAGTTTAGTTTTGGTGGACTCCTTATAATACTCTTTGTGTGTGTGTGTGGTTTCACACATAACATTCTTGTGCACATGCACCAGCAGCTACCTCTACACACCAACCATCAACAGCACATAGAACTTACACCTCATGTGATTAGACCCTGGATCAGTTAGGTTCATCGTGTCACTGATCTGTGCCTCCACCTCCATCCTCAAGACTGTCCTGGCAAATACACCTTGATGTTAAAGGAGACCTTTCTCCTTGTGCAGATCAGAGTGTAAGGCAAGAGAACCCCCTGTATCATAGAATAAACCAAGTACTGAGACCAAAGATAGAGAGATGGTATGTGTTGCTGACCTTGTCTTATCCCTCTACTGTCTAACTGTGATCCCTCCTGCTGTCACTGAAGTCTTTCTGTGCAAATATCCAGCCCTAATCCTGCTCACACATCCTGTGTAGCCAACTGAAAACACCTCAGAGAAGAGAAAGGCAATTGGAGCAAAAATGTCTGTATTCTTCAGTTGTTCATGATCCATGCCCTCCTGGAAAGAGGCAGGTCCAGAACAAGCTAAGCTCCTGGCATTTCTAGAAGATCAGAAAACTTCCAGGTTGACAGAGTTACCTGAGAACCGAAGAAAGAAAAATGAGGGAAAGGTGTGAGGAAAGCTCTGTAAGTTCTGCTGCCCCTTCTTCTCATCTTCCTAAACCCTCTTCTTCTAGCCTTTTCATCCTTCATCTTAAAGACTCCCAGCCTTTAAGATGCCCATCAATACTCAATCATATGTTTGCAGTTGTGTTTCTCAGGAATATTCTCCAGAGAGTCTAGGCAGGGCCTTCAGTGTTCTGTCTAACTCCTCATCGGGCCCAGCATGGCTAACCAACCTTCTGGTGGAAGAATCCACACATTGGTAGTGGCAGTGTGGGTATTAGTATTGATATCAGCAGTCATGGTGGCAAGATTGATGGCTGTAATGGTAGCAGCTGAACTTTGGTGGGTTTGCCATTACCTTCTGCCACTGCTCCTGATCCTGCTGGGATCAGCGGCCAACATGTAACTGTTCCATGTTATGGGGAACACAGGCTCTTGAGCTGAGGGACATGGACAAGACAAGAGGGCCTTATAGGCACAGGGAGCTGTGGCAATATGACTGAGGGATGCTGCTAACCAGGGCACCTAAGATCTCTACGTACTATAGACTCTGCATAAGCACGGTACTCTTCATCATAGATCTTGGTCCCACTCTTCCCCATGCATCAAGCTCCTCACAATCCTTTCCATCAGTTATACTCAAGAGCCAGCCTAAAAGCTAGACTACTTCGGCTTGATGCCTTAAGAACACTAAGTAGAGGGGAAATCACGCCCTCACTTTCTCACTCTTCCACATAAACAATGCTTATTGACTAATGAAAATTTCAGAACACTTAATTATATTAAAGCTATACCTAAACCAATTAAGTGTTTCATGATAGATGGGTAAGATAATGAAACTGTCAACAATTTCATCTTACTTGGATCCACAATTAATGCACTTGATACCAACAGTCAGGAAGTCAGGAGACATATTGCACTGGGAAAGTCTGCAGCCAGGGACTTTTTCTAATTACTGAGAAGCAATGATGTCAATTTGAGGACTAAGGTGTGCCTAACTCAGGCTGTGTACTTTTTGGTCACTTAGTATGTGTCTGAGAGATGGACAATGTATAAGGATAACAGAAGAACTGATGCCTTTGAACTGTGGTGTTGGAGAAAAATACTGAATATCTCATAGGCTGCCCAAAGAAAATACAAATATGTCTTGAAGAAGGTGCAGTCAGAGTGATACTTGAAGGCAAATATGGTAAAGCTTTATCTCACATACTTTGGGCATAGTGATAGAAGAAGTCATTCCTTGCAGAGGGACATCATGCTTGGTGGAGAGATGGTAAAAGAGAAAAAGACCCTCAGCTGCATGGATTGACCCAGTGACTGCAGCAATGGGCTAAAGTATGTCAGAGACTGTGAGGATGGCACAGGATAGGATAGGGTTCAGATCTGCTGTTCATAGGGTCACTATGAATCATACTTGACTGAATGGCACCTAACAACAACACAGCATACCTAGATCAAGAAACAGTTGTCAGAACTGAATAAGGGAACAAATGCATCATTTAAAATCAAGAAAGCTATTCATCACGGCTATATTCTTTCTCCATACTCATTCAATCTGTATGCCAAGCAAATCCTTTGAAAACTTAAACTTCATGAAAAAGAATTTGGCATCAAGATTGAGAAAGACTCATCAACAACCTACATTATACAGGTAAAAGACCTTCAGTGAAATGGATTGATACAGTGACTGCAAACTGGGTTCAAGTATGTCAGAGATGATAAGGATGACACAGGATAGAATAGGGTTCAGATCTGTTGTTACAGGGTTGCTAGGAGTTCTACACGACTTGACAGTACTTAACAATAAGACTAAAACGTGCCAACCACTATGCTGAACACTTTACATTTAATTTCACAACAATCCTCAAAAAGGGTCTATCATCACTATTTTCTATATTAGGAAACTAAAGTGCTAGGAAGCAAGTCACACTGAAGTAGTCAGGGGTTCGAATTCAGGACAGCCACCCGGAACATTCAACTCTTGCTATTCTGTGCAGGGTCCCTGCTAAGATAGTAAGTTACATGCTAGGCTGCTAATTGAAAAGATCTGCAATTCAAACACATAAGCTGAACTGCAGGAGAGAGATGGGCAGTGTCTTCCCATAAAGATTTAAACCTTGGAATCCTGATGGAGACTTGCTGTAAGTCAGAATTTATTTAACAGCAGTGTGGTTTTGTTTTCTTTTTGGTATTCTAAATCATTCACTCATTTAGAAAATGTTTACTGACAACTTCATCTGTGCTGGACACCAGGAGCCTAGATGAATGTGACCTGGTCCCAGTTCTTCCTGAGATGGAAAAGAAAGCCACATGGACAGTCCATATGTGGTTGGAAGCACTTATATGCCCTGAGGATCCAATCGGTGCCAATCTTCAGTTCATTTCCTTTCTTGTAGGACGCAGAAGCGTCAGTGATTCTGCCTAATTTTGCCCTGAATTGTGAGTACTTATTGCTTCCTCCCTCTGCATATCTCAGTCACCTTACTCTTAAGACTCTGCCTCTCTGCTTCCTCAGGCTCCTCTCTAACTTCCTCTTTAGTTCTTTCGGGACACTACTCTCTCCTGTTTCCTTAGAGACTCCATCAGTGCAGATAACCACTGGTGGTTGAATCCTGCCTCTGACACTTACAAGTTCTGTGATAGTGGCAAGTTACTTAACTTTTCTACGCTTCCATTTTTTTAATTATTAAAATAAGTATAAAAAATAATCTAGCTAATAAAATTGTTGCGAAGAGGAGATAAAAAGGGCTTAAGATATCTAACACACTTAAAATACTTGTGCACAAATAGCGTTGTTAGTTCATCTCTATCCTGTCCTTCTCCCACTATAAAATAAAACAAAATCTTACTTCCTTCACCCCATACAGTGACTCTCTCTTCTCAGACACTCCTAATCTGTAATCATTCTCTTATTATGTACCAGTTGTTGTTGTTGTTAGGTGCCATTGAGTGGACTGTGACTCATAGTGACCCTACGTACAGCAGCTCTGAAGCCTGTTTTGTCTTGAGCCGGTCTCACTAATTCCGACACATCTACCCCCATTACCCCAGTTACTGTATCAGTCCATTTCATCCCGAGTCTTCTTCTTTTTTTTTTTTCAGCCCCAAAGGGGCAAGAAGAGACTTTAATTAGGGGAGAGGGGTATTCAGCAGATAAGAAAAGGTACATTGAGCATGGGAGCAGAGGGCCGTAGCAAGGAAAGGTCCGGCCAGCTCTGGCAGGCTCACTCTCTACCTCCAACACAGGCACTACACTGACAGACACGGGCTCACTCTCTACCTCCAACACAGGCACTACACTGACAGAAAAGGCAGAGCCACCTGGCTGTCAGACCCAGCTCCTACACAGAGCCATGGCCACTCACTCAGCCCTTGCCTCCACAGAGCGCTGGGTGGTCATCCTTGGACATAACTTAGGAAGCTAGCAGAGGGTCCTCACAGCTTCTGCTCAGCCCAGCAAGACTTGGAAGTATGAGGGCAGGGGAGAGGAAGTGGAGTCTGAACCCTCCCTCCCAACCTGGGGCTGCACAGGGAGGGACAGTAGTCGCCTTCTGGCTCCAGGCCTGCCCAGACCCACAGCGACCAATAAGGTACAATCAATTGGACCAGTCACGGTCATTTGTTTAAAAAAAAAACAAACAAAACAAAACACAAAAAAACTCTGAAACAAAAGGTTACAGTCTCCTACAAGCATAGAGTTTAAGTTTTAGAACTTTAAAAAAAACAAAAACAACAAACCAACCTGTCCCAGCCCAGGGGACTGTACATCAGAAGCCAGCCTGACCAGGCACATGTGGCCTTGGGCACGCCCACTGCTGCTTTCTTGCCCAGCTAGCAAGCATACCACCCCCCTCCCATATCTGGTGCCCACCCCAATCCAGCTCCCTGCTCCTGCTGCTGTCACTCCGAGAAACAGTTCCAGGACACCTTCGCAGAGACACAGGGAAGGCAGAGGGGGAAGGCCACGAGATCCAGCCAGATGGTTTAGAAATTCTTGAGGAACTCCTCAGCCACGATGCGCGCCCTGGCATTGACCGACAGCTTCATCTCACTGATCTCCTTGTCAATCTCCTCCATGAAGTGGATCACAAAATCCACCAACTTGTGTTTGTACATCTGCTCTGTGTGGAAGTTGGTGATCAGAAAACTGATATCATACCCCTCCACTGGTTTCCTTCGAAGGATAAAGAAGTTCTCTGCTCTCATCATCATGAAACGCATGAATTTGTGGCATAAAATGTTCTCAATCTCATCAGCCTGTTTCACAGCGATGCTGACCCGGACAGAGTTGATGGATCCCTCAATCAGAACCTTTTCCTTCTCATTCCTGCTAATGTTCACGGGTTGCAACAGGAGCTCTTTGCTACTCCTGACTTCCACCTCTGGTTTGTTGTGAAGTTTCACAACTTGGGAAGAGAAGTTCTCCAAGCAGAGGGCAGCCTGCAGGGACGGAGCGTGGCAGTCATCGCGAGCGCTGGCTGGGCCGGAAAGCGGAAGCAAGGAAGTGCCGGGACGCGACGCCGGCCCTTCCCTAGAGTCTTCTTCTCTTGCACGTCCCTCCACCCTTCCGAGCATGATGTTCTTCTCCACAGACCGGTCCCTCCTGGCCACATGGCCAAACTATGTGAGAAAGAGCTTTAAAATCCTAGCCTCCAAGGAGAAACTTGGTTACACACTCTACAAGACAGACCTATTTGTTTTTTTGGCAGTCCAGAGTGTACCAGAGTGTGGAGAAAATCTTATTTTAAATTTTCATTCTGTTTCATAAACCAAGAAATTAAGGTTTGAAATCAAGTCTAAGAAACCAAGTATTATATAGTTAATAAATGACAGAACCGGGATTTGATCATCTAATCTGAATGCCTCTAAAGTTAGAACTTTCCTAGTACCTCTACACCAAAAGATGGAATGAAAATGGGACAGGCAAGAGGAGGAATAAAAGTTTTGGGGTTTGTTGTTTTTTTTTTTTAACTGCATTGCTGCCTTTGTTAGACTATAGTGCCACCTGCTGATAAAAAGGGAAGGAGTAGATAGGTAAAAGATTAAAAAGCAGGGAAAGAGGGAAGATGAGAAGGCAGAGAAGAAAGGGAAATAAAGGGATGAGAAAAATTAGGAAGTTGAAGTTTTGTGGAAGAATAAGGCTAAGAGGTATTTGTTACTTTGAAGATGGAGCAGAGACTGCAAAACCTATGTTTTCTCTTGAAACTGAGTGTGTGTGTTTATGTGTTTGTGTGTGTGTGTGTGTGTGTGTGAGAGAGAGAGAGAGAGA